TGTGAAACCTTCAAAAACCTGCAAGGGTGCAGAGAACATGGAGATAGCATACGCATATGATGTGCAATGTAGAGGAATATCATGTGAATCCTTCAAAACCTGCAAGGGTGCAGAGAACATGGAGATAGAATACGCATATTCTAACTGGATGTCCGTCTACCGGGAAGCTGTCTACCGGGACGCTGCCGTCCTAAATTTAAATACCCAAAACGATTTAAATCATATTCTATCTTCTGGTGAGTTATTGTAGTCATGTTGGATTTGGTAGAGCTGTGACCATCTGAGTGGTAGTTTTGGGGGGGTGCATCATTAGAGTATAGACACTTTGGTTAGCACGTGCACGCAAGTGTCTACACTACTTGTATGTGTGACATGCGCGTGGCCTACGCACGACTGCGCACCCCTTCACAGTTTGAAGCACCTCCGCGGTCGACGACGCGGTCGGCCTTCTTTAGAGGACACCGGCGCGAGTCGGCTAAGGCATTCAGCAAAATCTTAACGCTTGCAGCAGCCGACATGTGTGTGCACCGTAGATGTCGCGCACGCGAAAGTAACACCAAGCCACTTTGACTCCACGATCACCCGCTCAGCAGCGACAAGCCCCACGAAACACGCATGGAAGCCCCGTTCACCGACGGCACGAAGCCACGCAACGCAAACGCCAGTAAGTTCCATGCAGCTTCCAAAACCTCCCATTGAAACACATATACCTTGGCGATGTCGCAATCCCAACTGCAATCCCATATAATCCCATAGCACATAAGAAAGCCTTTGCCAATGAACTACTTCCTCATGCTTCTCAACAGCCCAAGTAAACTACAGTAAGGCAAGGGCACTTCCATGGTTCCTTTCGATTCATTCAACATGCCTTGAAAGTTATTGTATCCACTCCGTCGCAAACCACAACTACACAATCCGGCTTACGCAAAATAATATTATGTGATGCGCCATGCCAATGCCTACCTCCGACCCCAAACAGAAAAGCCTACACAACATCAAAAGCACGTTCATTTTGGGATAACCTTTTTCATGGACCAAAGAACGCTACTCATCTAGGTGGTGCTGATGCTCCTCTCAAACATTTCAAGCTCCTATTCAGCACCTGCACACAAACAGGCAAAGAGAGAGGGCATCTATTCAATCTCGGTGGATATATAACCCAAACACTACATGTATGCCATATTTACCTACATTGGGCTGGTTCCAGGGGTCAATGTAGGCATGTATTCTTTTCATGGAGCGCCGGGAAGGTTTATGTATATAGATATAAAGAATTATAAAGATACATGCAGAATATTATATGTGTGTTTATTGTCTTATCACGTTTTATCTATCTCGTCCACATTTGCTAACGATGCTTGACGTTTAACGTGTGAAAAACAAAAACACCAAGAGTTCTGCAGTCCAAGTGGGTCACCCAGCCGATGCCATCCTCCAGAGCCGATTCGGAAACTGAATTGTTTTTTCAGCAGGAAAACATCTGTCCCCAGTTCCACCTGTTACTCTTGTTTTCCTGTTCCACCAGTTGACCGTTAACCAACTTCTTGTTCATTCTTTTTCCACCTGTTCTATCTCGCTCCGGCCGATTGGTACGGGCGTTGACACTCTGGTCAGGTTTGCAAAACAAAGCAAAGCACGTCAAACGCGGTAAAACTAATTCAAGCAGAGACTCGGGCAAAATAACCATGTGCCAAGTTTCTGGTTTGTTCGCGAAAGCTCCGGGTCAAGGAAAAAGGTCGGGCCCCGCAAATCGAGCCTTTTGGTAATGCGCGGCCGCATTTCCGTGCCCACGTAGCTTGGTGATTTCCAGGGATAACAGAGTGAAAGTCACACCCGGAAAGCAGCCCGGCTGATTTTTTCACAGCTTTTTGTACGTTGACAAACGTCCCTTTAGGGGGTTTGACTCGCTCCAAGATGCCTTTGCAGTGACAAAAGAGAAGTGCCAACTCGATAAAACTCACCGAATCTGTATCTGAAATACGCCACTGCAGGTTGTGCCAAAAATTGAGAAGGGTAGCCCCGCCGCCTTCCCCAAAAAACGACACGACTGCAGCAGGTGTTTCATCTGATGGATGTGGCTGCCCCACACAGGATTAGTTACAGGTGACGGGTAGGCAGCGAACAACCGGAGTTCTCCACCCAAAGAACCCAACTACAGCTTCTCCCCCCACCATCGAGTAACCTCATGAAAGCCACGCCCGGAAAAATCGCACCTGGCGGCAGGCCGAGATCGCCCCACCTGGGTGGGTAGTGATCATTTACCACACGGCTTGGATGTGTGGGACGTAGCTATACACATGTAACAAAACCCAAGATTATTTCAATCTATAAAATCTGCATAATTACTGGACATCAGCTTGGTACCCTCTCTCTCTCTCTCTCTGTCTCCATTAGGTGTTTCTGTCCATCTGCCTCCTCCTTGCCTCACCAAAACCGCCCAGGAGCGACATGTCCAAGGCTTGGGCTTACAGAGTCGAGACTCATCGAGAGTCGGCAGCCACATCCAGCTACCCCGGTGCACCACTGAGCCCACCGGCTGACAGAGATGGTGGTCAGACCTCATGGCGGCGCTGTATCGGAACTGATCGGCGGTAGGTTATGATCTGTTACAAGTAGATATGCACAATATAACAAAGTCGGCTCTAAGCTTTTGTACCATCTGTATTGCTCTGAAAGCAAAATCTGTGTTTCACATTATCTCCCCAAAAACGAGCATAGCGAGGACAATGGTCCTGCAACAGGCCATGCCATCCATGTCTCAGATTCTTCTAGGGAGTGTAGCTTGTGAATCAGCGGTTCTCACATCTTACATCAACACCACCTATTAGTCGCTCGTCTAGTGGCTCAACCCGCGGTTTCGGGCTAGATGGCACAAACCAAGATGTCTGGTAGATGGGGCCCATATGAACCACCAAACTGGGGGCAGTGTGCCATCTACTCTGAAAACCACCTTATATGCCTGTGGGTCAAAACCCACGGCCCCAAACCAGGGTAGGTTCACCTCCCAGGTAGTATATTCCGTTTCATGTTCATTAGTCAACCAAAGTGTCCGGGTTTGGACCCTCACTTTTTTCTCCCCTGGGCGCCCCTGCCAAGGTCAAAGGACATCAACGTTCCAATCGCTTGCGTCCATTGGCAAGCCTCACCGCGTCCGCGGCGACGTTGCACGGGGCGGCGGCGTTTCAGCCGTTTGGTTCTTCGGAAGGCTCCCACTCCCTGGACCTCCTGATTTGGTTAGGGTGATATCAAAACCAACACCTGACTGGATTGGGGGGTCAGTGTCCGTGTCCGTGAAGAAGGAGGGCCGGTGCAAGCGGACAGGAGGAATTTCTATTTCGAACCCTCAGTTCAATATGAAAGAAGAACGCGATTGAATACGAAACCCCTTCTGCACCAGGTCCCCCTTCTGCTGTTGGAGCCTGGCCATGAGGACTCAGGAACTGACAAACCCCTCGGATTCATCGATTGGACGGAGCCCGTTTCCTCAAGACGTCACACAAATGGATCATCGGAAGTGTGGAGGCTGGCCCGGCCCGAGGCCAAATGCTCCTGGAGCCTGGATTCCTCTGTCTCTGTCTAGTAAGTGTTGGCTAGTCTTGGAATATTTCAGGATGTCCCACAGCAACAGAGAGAGAAAACCCGTCTTATAGCTCTCAGAGATGTTCTGAAAATGCTTCCCAAAATCCCACCTTGCATGAGCCTTCATTTGCGATTATTGCTATGCTTGCGTATGCTGTGACTTCTGAGACTTCTCATCAGGTTTAGTGTCCATTTGTTGGAGCACCCTCGGCTAGTCATTCATTCACGTAGAGATGGACCAAATCCTAAAACCTCATCCCCTATACAGTAAGGGACCATGTACGCTGTATTGACTGATCATGAAATGACCCGTACATCGGGTCAAAGCCACAGATGTGACTACTTACTTCTGGACTCATAGCCTCCCCCATCACTCCCAATCATCCTAACCTCGGCCTGTACGCGCCCCCACCGTTTGGCCAAAAGACACACCCAAAAAGAAACACGCGCCTTCTCTTCTGCTGTGATGACACCACTGCCTTAGCAAGGCAGTGCTCAAGAGCGCATGATATTCAATGCGCACATCGCATGATATTCAATGGCGGTGCTGTGGTCCGGGACGTCTCTCCACACGGGTCTCTCCAATCACGTTCCCCCGACCGCACGGAGCCACACGCCCAGGTTCGGTTCCAACGAATCCAACGGCTGAGTCTGCCTTTTCGCTCGCGTGAAACCCGCGCCCGGTCCGATGGTGGGAGGTCTGGAACCGCCAAACCGATGGTGGGAGGTCGGTGAGGAAATGCAGCGCGGGGATGCGGTCACCCGCTGACCCCGAGGCCAAAGAGATCCTTTCTTCGACCTTCTTTCCACCGATATTCAACCGCAGTTTCTCTTCATCCAGCTTCGCTCTGTGCTCCGTGCTCGGTCCATCTCGGTCTTCTCCGTGTTTCCGCGGGCCGGGCCGCCGGCTAGCCGGCGCGGCGGCCGGCTGCGCGGTCAAGCCGCTGCGCGGTGCGGCCGCAGGGCAGCGGTTGGGGGTGGGATCTTGGAGGCGAATCGTTCTGGTCAAGTGCTGAGCGGAGCGCACAGGAACAGCAGGAGCGCCCAGTTGCAGTGAGTCCTCAAGTGTCACACAGATCTGTGGGCAAGCCAGATCGGCGTCCAATTCCCAAATAAAAGCGAGGTCATGGGAAGGTGAGAAGAAAAGAACACGTCTCCCATGACCAAGGGTGCCTTGCTTGGCACCCCCTCCGTATGAAGGACAAAATGGCAAAGAACAAATAAAACTCCGACGACCGCAGGGGGTCAAAACTAAAACTCTCAAAAAGGAACAAACAAACAACAAATAATCCACAACAACTGATATATGTATCCTTCAACCTCAAAAAGGAACTTTGGAAGTTACATCAGGAAAATCCTCTCAAAACCATTTCGACGTGTCGGAAAATAACATCACCATCACGTGTGACGGGTTTACGGCTGTTGTTCACCGATTGAACTTTGTCCCAAGAACATCACCGTTAAGTCGACGTTTTAGGATGATGTGGGATAAGCCCCAAGTCATATGCAGGATTGAGCCAACCAATCCAACCAAGCGCCACACACCCTGCGGGGGGCTTGGGATACAAATTTCTATCAAATCAATGACGTGGTTGAGGCGAACTAGGCTGCCTTAGCACTCCAAACTTTAGTTACTGAGGGTACCATATGAGGTGACATCCGGCGCTTAAGTTTGTGTGCTCGAACCGCTGCAGTCTGCACGTTCGCTTGCCACAAAGAATGCTCAAGTAAACCAACTAGCTATAATAGCTATATAATATAGCTAGTTAAATTATGTTAAAGTTGCACTGCACATGTGCCCAAAACCAGCGGCTATACGGCTAAGTCAATCCAATTGAACTATCGGCTTCCACACCTGCACATAGTGGGTGTGGCTTTGGTCACCTGATTTTCACCTAGCGCACAGGTCACTGCATGTCAGGTGCCCGCATGTCCCCGCCGAAGGCACCGAGCCGAATCCGCCTCGCGGGGGGCGCCAGTGACCTGGCAGGAGCGGCCATGCAGCGTGCCGTGCACCGCTGTTTGAGCAGTCGGATGCTGTGGCGGTGCCTGGGGGAAGGGGGCAAACGTCCTTTTTTAGGGGCCCCTCACGGGTGGCCACATGAATTGGAGGGTAGGGAGGGCTGCCTCATAAAAACAAAAACCTAAAAAATCATCAAAAGCACCAACACTCAACCCAGTGGCCCTGCGGCCCTACAGGAAACTGCAAATTAAACTCTACACTCTAGATAGCGCACCAAAACGATAGCGCACCACGCACCGAAACATCACGTTTCACGTCAGTCGAACCGGTCCAATGACCTCGCGACCCAGGTCGTTTGCTAAGCGAACCGAGCCATTTTCGGGCGTCCGCCGCGGTGCCTCGGTCCGCGCCAGTTGCTGGCGGTGCTGCTCCAGCAACGAGATCTCGCCAGGCATGAAGCCAGCCATTGGAAAGGAGAGCAGCACCGCCTGAGACCATCGAGTGAAACTCGAGTCGCAGTACCCAAACGCGACAGCTGGGATTGGAATACATGCCGATATTGACCGCTGAAACCACCCCAACGCGGGTAAATATGGTATACATGGAGTGCTTGGGTGCACTTCATTTGAGGAGTTGGTTCCCTCTGGGCACCAACTCAACACTGGCAAGAAATCGTGTTCAAAGGGGGTGGTCCAACATGGTTCGAAGGGGGAAAAGGGAAGTGGATTCTGCAAAACCAAGTGGGTCCATGAACTGCATCCAACATTGACTCTCGGAAGGTCAATTCCCAACGTCCAAGTGGACTGGAGCAGCCTGGAATGGCCCAAAACCGCGTGCAGCCCGAATCTCACTTCTGACTTGATCATGATGAAGATTGAAAACATCCGATCGAACACGATTAAATGATATTAAATGATAGCACTTTCACTCGGGTCCCTCACTTCAGAAGGGAACATCACAGCAAAATCAAATAATTACAGTGGTTTCAGGGTAATTACATGGCACAATCCCCAGCAGGTGTTTTATATTGTTTTATAAGGACCACCATATGAAAGACATCTTTGGATGTGCCATGATTTGCCCGGCTTTTCATCAACGCTGCGCTGCTTCACAGCAAGACCGTCTCTGGATACTGGATCTTTGTCCAGGCCTGATTGAAAAGGGTGAGCTCTTTATAGCTCACCCTTCGGTTTTTTGGGTTTCTTTCTGGAGACATCCTTCCTAGCAAGGATTATGTCGTCCTCATCTTCATCATCCAACTCATCATAGAGCTCAGTCTTCCGCTTCTCCGCATACCGCGCGCGAGTCCACTCGACAAAGCGTGGGCCATCTTGACCCATCATGGCTTGGATCTTTCGGTAGGTATACCTCACAACATGAAAACAAACGTGCTTATGAAGCGCAACACATGGAATGGGCATGAATGAACAAGCATGATGTAGATATGTACGACAGTTTCAGGCATGTCCAAGGAAATATGTATTAAAGGCATGTTTTCTGAGGTCATCTGTTCTGAAGTCTTTGGACCACTAGTTAAGACTGGGTAGCCTTTCGGCTGGCTTTCCGAATAGGTTCCCAAACAGCCTTGATACGAATTATTGCTTTGTGGCGCTCCAGGAAACAAAGGCGAGGCGGGTTCTTTGTTGAGACCCAGCAACCAAAAAGAAAGTACGAAAGGATGTTAAAGGCCTTGTAATGTCTTATAACCACTGCTTGAATGGATCTGTGAAGAAGTCACAGGCGTTTGACTGAGGTGTTTGACCAGGTCTGACCAGGCCACTCGATCTCTGATTTGTGCTTCTTCCCTTCCAGCATGATCCGCTCATAGAAGCGCGCCACCGAGCGCAAGGCTTTCGTGAGCCCTGTCGGGGACCAGCGAAGAAGCTCCTCTGGGCAGCGAATTGCTCACATGAGCTATGATATAGCACAAGCATACAAATACAGTATGTTTCTTGAGTTTGTTGAAACACGTTGAAATCAAAACAAGCGTAACCTACAACAGTACAATACAATGATCTATAAAATATATAGTATAGAAGTGTCCATATATATTGGTTATTCCGTTGAAGGCATCCACAGATTTTTTCAAGTATCGGTGAGGGGATGTTGAGGATAGCATGAGTTCAGGGTGCTTGGCACGAGAGAGATCCAAAGGAGATGATGGCGCTTGACCTTCAGATGATGGATTTCCTTTTTGAGGACTTTGCTGCAGGGGACAATTCCGGTTGTTGCTGGACTTGGTCAAGACCTCCCAGCAATTGGTACAGGAAACCTATCGTTTGGGGCATAAAATCTGCAGATTTCCCCTAAGCCCGTGGTGAAAGTTTGTTCCTAGTAGCGATGCTGTCGCTCGTAGCGATGCCCCTGCTACTAGTAGCTTCTTGCTACGAGTCGTAATGCCCTTGTTACTACTCATCAACTTCAGCCGTTCATGTCATGATTGGGAGGTCTTGAAGCCCAGAAAGGCCGTGGCTAACAGCACAGCAGCTGCCTAGAGTTTGATCCTTTCTTGTTCAAACAGGCCCTAACACATGAGTCATGGACAAAATCATCGGGTGATGGTCATGCAACGTATTGGGGATGGTCATGGTTGGCCCCCCGGTTTCCCCTCACAGGCCAAAAACAGGAACCAGGAGGGCCGGCCCACACCGTAGAATTTGCATTATTTTGGTCAAATCCATCCCCCTGCCAATTAGGGTGGTGGTGGAGACACCCCATTTCATATAGGAAATCGGAACAGGGATTCAAATCCTTACATCACCTATGGTCTTCCCATCTGCGTCTCCTGGGCCTTAGCGATGCTCACGGGGCCTCGCAGGTTGTCGGGATACAGCACGATGGACCGGTTGGGCGGGGCGTCAATGGTCTCCACGTAAGGCCTAGTGAGATCGGGGGTCGAAAGACAAAACTGGCGGAAGGTGGACGGAGCAGAAGAGGAGCATCTAGAGTTTTTACTGAGATCTACCAACAAGTAGAACTTGCACTGGCACCTATGATCAGAAACGCGCAGCATAGCGCAGCATCGGTATGATTCTGTGTTTGTGAAGCCGGGAAAGGGTGGACTTAAAGCAGCTCAGGTCTATTCCCATGAATTCCAGCAGCTCGGCGTTTCGGCACATGGTCGGAGGCTCGGTTTCGGCGCGCCGGGTGGAACGGATCGACTCGCCAGTCCCAGGCGCATGCCCGCGGGTTCGCCGATGTAGTTGTAGAGCACCCGCTGGTCGGGCATCTCCTCACACGCGAGGTTGAAGGCTTCGCCCAGGATCGATCGACCTGGGTGGTGATGGATCCACCCGGTCGAGACCAGTCGCTTCGACCATCTTCTACCCCATGCCCGTGAACTGATGTGAGTCGAGGTGAATTGTGAAGGTGCATTATACTTACATGTACTTATATAAGTTGCGAGCTGGAACCTCGACTTACACATTGATGAATATGTTGTGGTGCTGCTTAGTGAACCTCTGTGACCCCTGGCCATCCTCTTATATAATTAGCCTGCGCATTATGGGCTTACCAATCTGGAGTGCTTCAACCAGTCCCGTGGATGGTGATCTCCGAGCGCAGTGGTCATGAACAGTGACATTCGTTGATTTCCAACGACGTCATAACGTGTGACCGACGAGAAAGTGAGGCGAAAGCCGCTCCGTTTGATGTGTTTGCACGGGTGGATCTTCATATTCTTCACAAAAGCAACTCATTACTTCATATGATTTCAAGTATTTCGAGGGTCGTGACATAACATGTTGCATTTGAGGGGAAACGAGTCTTTCAAGGATGCATGTTCCATCATGTTCCATCTGCATCATGTGCATGTGCATGAGTGATTCTGTGGGAAAAAGCACAGCCAACTTCTCTCAACCTCTCAATTTCTCTCTCTGCCTCCGAAAGCACTGACAGCTAAGCCGCCCATGCGAGTGTGCAAAGAAAAATACAGCAAACATGTGTCTGCATGATTCTGCATCTTCGTGGATCATTTCAGTTTCTCCAGCTTCGCAATCATACTTCTTTGAGGCTACACTTTTTGACCACTTGTTTTTGCTGGGTTCCGGATGGGCGCCCTTTTTGCCTTCACTTTTGCTCTGCTTTTCCTTCAGCTTTACCTGGCTGGTGCGGCATCTTCGGAAGCAAGGCCGTCGTCGTCGTCGTCGTCGTCTCCACTCGTACCTCTACCTTCTTACTGCAAGGCACGACCCGGAGCCTCTGCATGCAGCTCTTGGAGCCCCTTGGCAATCGACAGCTTCACCGCCTGCGGGAGGAGGGGCGATGAGCGCCTTCCAAAAGGCCGGGAGTGTTCTGCACTCAGATTGTGATGTCAGGACACCTACCCACCTACTAGTACCTACCGCAGCTCAATGTCGACGTCTACAGCTCCGCCTGGGCGATATCGGGCGTGTAGGTCAGGCTGATGGGCACCTCCTTCAAGCTGGTGTCCAAATGCAAAGGCAGCGTAAGACCCACACAGGCCTTGATCCAAAGATGCAGCAACCAATATCGGATCGTATTCTCCTTGGGGCCGAAGACGTTGGCTAAGCGCAAGGTCACCTAAGCAGAACCGAGAATGTCGGCGAAGCCAGGAATGCGCAAGTACATCCCTCTTCTTCCCACCATTCACTCCACAAAAATGGTGAGTAGCAGTTTTGCTCACAAAGGCGGTGGCAAGTGTTGATCTTCAAGGGGGAAACACCTGTTTCAGCATTTTCTTCCAGGTCACATAGGGAAAGCCTCCTGCATTGTACCTTGGATGTGCTTGGGCCACTCAAGAATCCGCCCAACCTCTGCATGTATTCAATCCATCCTACAATATGGCACCTGTTCCCGGACGTTCCCAAACCAATCGGACCAACCAAAACATCCACAACAACAACAAAAAAAACAAACCACACACAAACCACAAACCACACACTTCTTCGCCATCTCAGGAGTACTGTTTCAAGAGTTCCTCCTCACATTCCAAGTCTGTGTCTCCTCGAACGCTCTTCTCCTTCAAAGCCCACCGGTCCAGAGGGGAGATCTCGCGCCCCGGCCGGACCGCATCGGCTTCCCACCAAACAGCGTCCTGGGCACAGAGGGCCATCAACGGATGCATCTGCAGCTTTGAGAAAGGCCCAAAAACGGTGGGGTGTGTGTGTGTGTGTCTTTCTTTGGGGGGAGGGCCAAGGGGGGGAGGGAATAATCCGTATAATGCGATTATGGAGTGTTAAATGTGTGTGTGTGTGTGTTCTGTTTTTTTTTGGGGGGGGGAGGGTGGTTCAGTGGTTCATGCCCCCAAAACTGCCAGTGCCCTTTGGCGAGGGTGGAATGTTGTGCCGTGATGTGCCTTGGTTATACCGTGTTTTGTGTGCGCTTTGATGATGATGATGATGATGATGATGATGATGATGATGATGATGATG